ACAGCCTGAAACCGATGTGCCTGATAGACAAGATGGTGCGTTTGATCTTATTGTGTATGTACATGTTATGACTCTAACGCTACCGTGTATATAGTTGCTGACCGAACTGTCAGTCCAGATCCAGACACGACGAAGACTGTTTGTCCGAACATTCAGGCTACCTCTCCACACCTGGCAGAGAGTGATTTGGGCAATTCAGTTGGTGATGAAAACGGTAAGCAGGTCGAATACATTGCTTGTACCTGTGAGCTACTGCTAACGCTAACACACCACTCCCTTATAGGTACAGACGAGTATCCCAATTGTAGTTTACATGCTGAATTCGATGCTGCTGCTACATCTGGCTCAGAGTATGCCTGCTCTGAGCCTGATAGCGACGGAGAAAGCACGATGCCAGGTGAAGAAGGGCAACCGGCCGCCATACCACCTGAAGAAGTGCAACCAAGCGTCAGCGTTGCATATTGAATCAGAACGATGATGGGTAAGCTTATGGTGTATATACACGTTAAGGGTACACGTTATGGATTCTTATAGTGTATGTGGATGTAGATGACCCAAACATTATCGAGCCTGGAGATAATCCAGCAGATTTTGCAGCACTGGATTCCGATGGTGACAATGAGAATATGTCCATTTACGATGATGATGAGGACTTAGGCCTCGAAGAAGCCGACGCCGTCGTGGAGGATTCTGCTGCTGCTCCTGACTTACTTTTCGAGCCATCTCTACTTGAAATAGTTGGCGGAGTTGGAGCACTTGCGCGCGGTAGTGTACACAAGGATGTTCTAAAAGACATGAAGCTCAATGGATGGAATGGACCTGATACCCAATTGCCTTTTCCCTACATGGACGAGCCGTACGAGGCTCGGACTGATGCATGGCTTACGGAGGACTATCCCAATATTTACAGCGGGGATCACGGGCCTACTGAAGAAGCCTTTTCCGCTGCTTCGACCGCGTTGGGGTCATTCTTCTTGTTTGCACCTCCCCATCTTTGGGAAGACATTGCCGGAGCTAGTGACGACTATTTCCTTCACAATTTGGATAAGCGTGTTGGCGCACAGCGTGCAAAGCAACAAGCCCGCCACCGGAAGGACAGCAATTTTGAAGTCAAATCGCAAGAACAAATTAAGGAGTATTTATTGGCAACACCTGACATATCTGGAAGAGAGTTTTGTATTTTTATTGGACTACTCATTGCCAGAACAATTGCGCCGAACAAGGAGAGATTTGACCACCACTGGAAGACTACCGACGAAGGCGCAATTCCGCGTGGATGCTTCGGCCACTATATGAAGCGAGATCGGTTTGCTCATCTTTCCCGCAACATGCAATACAGTCGCAATGATGCTCCTGAGGCAGCGACGGACCGCGCGTGGAAGCTGCGGCCAGTAATCATCGTACTGCAACATACTTTCCAGCGCAGCTTTGTACCGCCACCGGTCATGGCGTTTGATGAAGCGATGCTTCCTTCAAGATCGGCTTTCAATCGCATGAGGGTGTACATGAAAGATAAGCCTCACAAATGGGGGACTAAGCTCTTCATGCTGTGCTGTTCTGAGACGGCTTATTGCGTCCGGTACGTTTGTGACGCGCCTTCGGGCGCGTTTTTTTTTTGGCTATAAAGTTGTCTTAACGTGTCTGCTACATGCTAACGATTTCTTTACCGTGTCTGATACAGTTTCGAAGTTTACTGTGGTAAACGCCAAATGCAAGACGACAGCACTCCACCTGACGAGAAATCCGGCCCTGCTGCAGTGGTGCGAAATCTCCAGCATGTATTTGGCCCCACTGGACCCTCCGACTTTCGACTGGTTGTAACAGATCGGCTTTACACCTCCGTGGTGCTTGCAATGCAACTGCTTACGATGTCTTTCTACATCGCTGGAACGATTATGATGAACAAGCAAGGCTTGTGCGAGGCCATTCTACCAGCAAAGCAGAAGAATGGCCGACGAGCGTCGAACAAGCGGCTAGCACATATCGAAAGAGGGACGTACGAAGTGGCGACATCCGTTCATGTTCCTGCAATGAAAGCAATCCGGTGGTACGACAAGCAAGGGGTGCACGTATTAGCAACTGGTGGAAGTGCGCAACAGGACAGAATTGTCCGACGAGACCCTATTACGGCTTCGGAAGCGGAAGTATTGGCACCAAGAGTGGTAAAAGATTACCAGACCTTTATGGGCGGCGTGGATGTGCATGACCAGTTGCGTCTTCAAAGGTAAGTTGTCTTATCGTGTATAGACAGCTTTACCATTTCCGCTAATCGTGTCTGTTACATGCACCCCGTAGATACTCGTTGCAGTTGGCAAGACGCTACAGAAAGTATTACAAATCGTTGTTCCTAGGCCTTATTGATCTGGCAATTATCAATGCATTTATTGTCTTTAATTGCCGGCGGGTTAGAGATGGTGAACGAAAGCTATCACACGTGCAATATCTCAAACAGCTTCACCTGGAGTTGTGCCAGCTTCAACCTGAAGACTGGCACCAGCTGCTACGCCGCCGAGGGCTCCAGGCGACACCGACAAAAGCTCGAGAAGTCGCCAGACATGTGCCTGTTCAGACCGACGAGTGGCGTAAAGGGAGCGCCACACAAGCTCGAAAACGCCGTCAGCGCGCCTGTAAGGTGTGCTCAGTGCTCAAAGCCGATGGAGAGTTGCGTGGGGGTGAGACTACCTTCTTTTGCGGTGAATGCAGGCTGAAACCGTCTTCTAAAAATGCTCTAGCAGCTCGAGTCTTCCTTTGCAACAAAGTGAAGCATTCCGTGAACGGTGTTCCAGCATCGTGCTTCGAGATCTGGCATAAACATTGAAGAACGGCACATTGATCCCTCAGACACGGAACAAACGCAAGATTCGTGCCCGTAAGCCGAAGAGACCTACCGATGAGACTGCAGGTGATGCTGAGAACTCCGAGAAGTCGGGCGGTGAATCTGGAAGTGACGGATCATCACGCCAGAAGCGATCCCGCAGAAGTGATGACGTAGTTTAGGCAGGCTCCGGCTCTGATTTTTGACTTGCATTAAATATACTGCACAGTTCACGTATTCCCAGCTGGTTTGTTTTTCTAAATATCGACAAATAAATCAGGCGTGTACTGTATCGTCTTTGCGTACAGGAGACACAATAATAGATATACCATGTATTAGGAAGACACTTTAGGCGGGGAAGACACGATACCAAAGTTTGGGGTTGGGGGTATGGACCGGCTTTAGTACAGACACGTTAAAATATATATGGAGTATAATATGGGTGCCCATCTTGCGGATAAACCTTAACGTGTGTAGGTATGTGTGAGATGGTGAGCACCAATGGCCTCGGGCTTGGGGGGTTAAAGTGGGAGAAGTGGTAAGATGATGACATCAAGCGAAGTCAAAGGTGCAAACGACACCCCGATTTCCTATCGTATAAAATACGATTTCGGCATCATATGGCACCATACTCAACACAAGTTTTCAAGGTGTAGAGCAATGTGTAGCACGAAGAAGTACACGTGCAGCGTTAAAAACCACGTTAAAACGGTGATTTTGCGGTAAAAGATCGGTTTTCCATTCAAAACATCGTCTCTTACTTACTAATTGTAAAGTATGACTGTACCCAT